GGCGCCGAGGCCGCCGGCCACGGGCCCTGCCAGGCCGTGGCGCAGGCCCGGCGAGGCGCCCGAGTCGCGGAAGTCGGGCCAGGGCACCACCTCCAGCACCTCGCAGGAGACCACCAGGGCATCACGGTGCGCGGGGCCCGCCGTGGCGTCCAGCAGCGAGCCCAGGCGCGGGAACTGGAGCACGCCGTTGTTCCAGGAGCGGGTGCACAGGCTGGCCTCGCGCCACTCGGTCGCCTCCGGCGCGCGCTGGTTGACAACCGACAGGCGGTACCGCACCCAGTGGTTGGCGGGGGGGTCGGGGGGCGCGGCGCCGCCGCCGCCGCCGCCACCGGGCGCGGAGAAGGGCGAGGGCGCGGCCAGGTCGCCCTCCAGGTAGATGCACAGGGACTCCAGCGAGTCGTACAGCCCGATGCGCAGCTGGATGGGCCCCACGGGGAAGAAGCGGGAGAAGATCTTGCGCGTCTCCAGGATGTCCTTGAACGCCGCCAGGTTGTCCACGCGCCACGTCATCAGCGTCTTCACCGGGCACGCGCCGTCCTCGCCCGTCAGGGGGGGCGCAGCTGCGCGCAGCGCCGCGGGCGGCCACGCCTGCCCCGCGGCCGTCGCCGTCGCGGCGGCGTCGGGGCCGGGGGTGGCCGCGGCTGGGCCGGCAGGGGGCGCGGCGTCGGGGGCGTGCTCGCTCTCGCCGCCCTCGTCACTCTCACCCTCCCCCGCCTTCCCGTCACCCACCGCCCCCTTCCCGGGCCCCGCGCCACCGCCCGCCCCCGGCAGCCGTGGGGGCGCGCGGTCGGCGGGCCCCAGGAGCACGCTGCGCACGTCGCAGGCCTCCTTGAGCACCACGGCGTCAGCGGTGAACACCACGGCGTCGTTGACCAGGAACCCCGCGTCGGCGTCGAACAGGGTGGTGAGCGACACGAAGTCGCGCCAGCCCCAGTCCTTGGCGGTGCAGGAGTAGCGGTTCTGCGACTCCTTGGCCACAGATCGGTCCTCCGCGCGCTGGTTCACCACCGCCAGGCGGTGGCTCACAAAGCTGGTCCAGTCCAGGGAGGCGGGGGGCTGGGTCCCAGACCTCCAGGAACAGGGACAGGCAGGTTGGGGGCTGGGCCTGGCCACGCGGGTACACGATCAGGCGGCAGTCGCGCCCGCCCACCGTGAAGCGCCGCGACTTGATGCACAGGCCCTGGATCTTGCGCCGCTTCAGCACGTCCTTCAGGCGCGTGAAGTTGTCGATGCGCCAGGTGAAGCGCGCCGCGTAGTCCGACTCGCGCGCCGCCAGCTTGCGCGGCGCGGCCAGGCCGCCGCCGCCCGCCCCGCGCAGCGACCCGGGGTTGCCGCCGGCGCGGCCGGGGCCGCCGCCGCCTGGCACGCCGCCGCCCCAGCCGCCGCGCGGCTCCAGCGTGCGCGTCAGGCTCGTGGTCTCGCGGATGACCTGGAACGACGCCGCGAACACCGCGGTGTCGCCCACCAGGTAGGGCGGTGCCGCAAAGTCGGCCAGGGCCATGAAGTCGTTCCAGCCCAGGCTGGTGTTCTCCCCGCCACGCACATCGGCGGCCAGGCGACCGTAGGAGTCGCGCTGGACGCTGCGCAGCGGTGGCGAGCCCGCGTCGGCGCCCGCGCCCGCGCTCGCGCCCGGCTGCGCGTTCACCGACAGGCGGAAGAGGCACCAGGTGGAGCGCTCAGGCTGCAGCTTCACCTCGCCGTCCTTGGACTCCAGGCACAGGCTGAGCCACTCGCCGTCGCCCAGGGCCGAGACGTACACCGACAGCCGCAGCATGATGTCACCTGATGGGGGAAGAGCGCCGCGTGGGTGGGTGGGGGGTAGTGAGGGGGGGTCCGGGGTATGCAGGGTGCATGACCACACCGCCTCACTCGCGCTCCTCCCACAACCCAAACCCCGCACCGGCGGTGAAGGCGGGGCTCATGATCTTCTGCGTCTTCAGCAGGGGCTGGAAGGCGGTAAAGTTCTGCACCGTCCACAGGAACTTGCCGGCCATGCAGGGGTCCGACGCGCCGGGAACGCGCCCGCTGAGGTCCGGGTCGCGCGAGAAGGAGGTGGACTCTGCCAGGATGGTGATGTCCAGCGACAGCTCCACCGACTCCGGCAGCGACCCGGCCGCCCCGCCGGGCTCCGTCAGCGCGGCGTGCGGCGCAAAGTCACACCAGCCTGCGGTCAGGGGCGGGGAGACAATTTTGGGTGGGGGGTGGGTGCTACTGGCTCTTCAGAAAGGGGGGGATCCTGAGTGACAGACCCACCTCGAGGCCGCTACTGATATGGAAGTGCTGCAAAGAGCTGTACTTCCACTGCATCCAACACCGCAACGGGCTTTCCATTCAATGTCACCAGCCACCAGGCCCTTCGCAGTACCATGGGATTTCTTTCGGGCGGAGAAGCGGTGCCACGAATCACGTGACAGCACCTCCCTCCCCTTCTGGGCCTCGGTGCCGATGCTGAGGCGGTAGCTGGCAAACACGTCCCACTTGCTGCTGTTCCCAGGGTCGCTCAGCTGGAGGTAGACGGAGACGTAGCCGGGCAGGGCCTGGCTGTCCCCTGCTTGGCATGAATGAGAGGGCAGCGGATGATGACGGCAAGGATGTGGGGTCTTGAGGGGGACACTTGAGAAGGTTGCACACAGAGACTATGCTCCAGGGCATGGCCTGCAAACCTGGCATCCAAGGAGCAAGCTGGTCTGCCCTAGCCCCCTGCCCCTGCGTCACCCCACCCTTCCCCACACCCCAGCCCAGCACCTGAGGGGTAGATGAGCACACGCCCATCGTGCTCCCGGCCATCGGAGCCAGCCACCGTGAAGTATGGCGACCAGAGCTGCTTGGATGTGTTGAAGCCGGTCAGAGTCCAGCGGCACCGCACGCTGTGGGTGACGCCATCAGCCCCGCTGGAGGCCAGCTCCGCGGTAGACTCCGGCCGCGAGGAAGCGGTTTCTGCCATGCCGAATGACAACGTTCCTATGCCCCGACAGTCGCGCACGTGGCGAGGCAGGCGTCTGGGCTGACTGCGGGCATCCTAGAGCGGAGTGGGGCGAGAGGGACCAGTGGCGGGACGCGATTGAGTTTCGATGTGAGCACTCACATATGAGTGGTCTGGGATGGGGGCCGAGGCCTCAAAGCCGGGCTGGTAGGCGCAATCCTCGCTCATGCTGCGCACCCTCATTACGTAAGGCTATCATGGCATCCATCACAGGGGCCTCGAGGTCTACACAACACCACCCTTTCTCATGCTGGGCCGCAGGTTGAGCATTCACTGCCAGAGGAGCTAGGGCAGCTGCGCGTGCCACGCATGCATGGTGCACTCGGTCGGCCAGGACATGCCCTGGCCGGAGCAGCTAAGGGTTCAGGCTGGCATCAGGGAGCCGGCGATGATCACCTCGAGCTCCCCACTCCTCGCCAGCTCCGCACTCAGCCTGTGGCTGTTCACCGGGTGAACATGCACCACCACCGACCCGGACTCCAGGCCTTGCACCTAGGGTGTGGTCAGGCATGTGACGGTGGTGGAGTATGGGGTGGGGCGGGGGGCGGCTCCCGGCCCTGCACGAGCCGTCCTCCCACGGGGCCCAGGTCCACATCGTCCCGCCTCCACCCACCCAGCCAGACGCCCCACCTGCTCCTGGTCGTGCTCCCAGGTTCCCACGTGCACGTCCACGACGCCCCTGCACGCTGCCACACTTTCCTCGACGCGGCGCTGCAGCGCGGCGCGCCAGGGCGCGGGGCCGGCGGGGCGGATGGCCGAGCGCGCCAGGTCCACCTGGGGGCAGAAGGCCACCACCTTGGTGGCCTGTCCGGCAAAGAGGAGGGCCGCCGTGCCGCCCATGCTGTCGCCCAGCAGGACCACTCGGTGGTAGCACGAGGCCGCCTGTCGCAGGGGGCCCGCGTACTCCTCGATGCCCGCGTCCCCGCCTGGCATGACGGTGACGGTGTGGATGGGCGGCGGCTCGGCCTGCACCCCAGCATGCACACAGCTCATCGCGTGACTCAGGGCGTGCGGGCTGCGCCACCGTCCCCCCACCTGTTCCCATCCCGAAGAGCTCACCATGGTACCAGGCGCGGGCGGCGTCCACGACGAAGAGCACGTCAAACGGGGCCACCTCCGGCCGGGCGGCTACTTTCTTCAGCGCACCCGCCCAGTTGGGAACGCCGGGGGCGCTGCCAAAGGCGACGAGCAGGGTTTCGGCGGCGGCGAGCGGCGCACCCTGGGTGGCAGAGGGTCGCGCGGCCGCCGGGATCCCGGCCAGACCAGCCCAGCGCACGAGCTTGAACAGGCCCGGGCCGGGGGCGAGAATCTCAGAGCGCTGGACGTTTGCTGGTATTGGGACGGCGCCCACGCTTGCTGCCGCATGCTGCAGCTGCGACTCGTCAAGACCCACCGTCACGTCCTGGCTCATACTGGCGCCAGCAATCAGGGACGCCAGGGTCCCCGCGTCCAGAGGGTTGCCCTCCAGCCACAGGCGCCGCAGGGAGGTGCCCTGAGGGTTGCACGATGTGTGGAGTCAGTGCTGACCATTGGCGGCGGCTCCGGCATTGGATGAGTGGCAGAAGACATCCCATCCCCGGCCACGTCTGGACCCCAGCCCCCGCTGGACCCACACCCCACACAGAACACAGGATGAGCAAGGCACCCGCCGTCAGCCATCGTCGTCATCGATTCCTCGTCATCCTCGTAGTACACCTGCTGCAGGGCCTCGGCAGGCAGCGTCGCCAGCCGGTTCCCGTACAAGCTCAGCGTGCGGAGGCGCGGCAACGCCAAGAGGCTCCCAGGCACGCGCGCCAGGCCGCAGTCGGCCGCGGAGGCGTGTGTCAGCGCCGTCAGGCTGCCCAGCTCCTCCGGCAACGCGCCAAGGCCCGGGTTGCCCTGGAGCCAGAGCTCGCGCAGCGCGCCCAGCGCCCCCAGCGTCTCCGGCACCGCCTCCAGCCGGTTGCCCAGCAGGCTCAGCGTCTGCAGACCACGCAGGCCGCCGATGGACCCCGGCAGCGCCGTCAGCGCATTGCCCGCCAGATTGAGCTCGCGCAGGGCGTGCAGGTCGCCGACCGACCACGGCAGCATGCGCAGCGCATTCCCCGCCAGGGACAGCAGCTCCAGGGCCTCCAGCGCGCCCAGGTCCTCTGGCAGCGTCTCCAGCGCGTTGCCATGCAGCCAGAGGCCGCGTAGGTCCTGCAGGGTCGTCAATGCCGTGGGCAGGCGGCGCAACTCATTTCCCGCCAGCTGCAGCTTGGTCAGGCAGGGAAGGGAGGCGATGCCTTCGGGCAGCTCCTCGATGCCATTCCCCGCCAGGGACAGCTCCTCCAGATCTGGAGGAAGTTGCGGCGTTGATGTGTTTGTAGTATCCATAATAAACAACAGCCGGTAAGAGGCGAGGCGGGGTATTCCGTCCGGAGACAACTGCAGCACAGTCCAAACTGTCACATGGTAACTGACGCTGGTGACAACATGATGAGTACACCCCCCGGTTCAGCCTGTTAGGAACCCACCTGTGATGTCAAAGACCTCAGGGGGAACATGCCGCAGTCCGCAACCAGACAGGTCCAGCTTTCCGGTGGATGCCGCCACTCCCAGCTTCAGAGCCAGCTGCTTAGGAGTGATGGGCTCCCAGGCCACCTGCCCCGGCGCCGCAGCGCCCACGCCGTTGCAGCGCTGGTGCAGGTTTGGAGGGTCTCTGCGGCGCTGAGGACCAAGGATATTTGGGGAGGCAGCGTTGCCTCGCTGCATGGTGTGTTTCAGGCGCCGCGCAAGCCTGCCCGGCTGCTGGCTGCTGGCAAGTTGGCACCTCATCATCAATGCCTCCCGCCCACTACTTGCGAGCAGTCTTCTTGGCAGCCTTCAACATTTCTGCCGCATTCTTGGACTCCCACAGGGGCGCGCGCCAGGTTCCATCTGCGGGGTCGTGCGCTGGGTGGCTGAGCATGCCCCAATCAAGGTCGGCAGCAGCAGCAGCGTCCCTCCTGGGACGGCCTAAACGCCCAAACATGTCAAGCAGTACCAAAGATCCCCCAGGACATGAAAGTCCGACCCTTACCAGGGCTCTTCTTCATGTTTTTGTCTGGAGGCGGAAGGGCACTCTGCTTCACCGATGCGTCATCCTTGCCACCCCCCTTCACGACCTCGACAGCCTGGTGGACCAAGGCGAGTGCGATGCTCGCCCCAGCGATTGCAGCCAACGCGCCCCACATATATTCAGTGCTCGAGACTTTGGTTTTGATCGCTGATTCGAAGGCTGTGCTTCATGTTACATCCTTGTGTTGGCTTGTGATCCATCGACGTGGCGCTGCGAGCGCGCATCCATGTGATACTCAGGGAGCACTGCATTACCCTTTCAGCGCGAAGCAGGAACATTTGGGCGAGAAATACACTGGCAACGTGAAGATACTCTTGAAAACACAAGCAGCAGCTCAGGGAAGCTGGCTCTGCCGGCCAATCACCAGCGCATGCGCCTATAGTGTCGCCACCTCTCTCTGCTTCACTCTTCCACACGCGGCGAGAACTAGGTGCTTGAACAAGGTTTGAACCAGTACATATGGCCCCCGGCATTGTGCCTCCAAGGGAGGAGGACGAGGCTGCCGCAGAGACCTCAAGCCAGCAGTCGGTCACCTTTGTGCTGGAAGGAGCCACCCTCGAGACTGCCAAAGTGGGCAAGGGCTACGAGCTGCTGAACTGTGACGACCACACATCCTTCCTTAAACGACACGGGAGGGACCCCGCGCAATATCGACCCGACATCGCCCATCAGGTGGGCTCAGTGAGGATTGCTGGCATGGCACTCTATTGGCCCGGCTCGTGGATTTACAGAGTGGGTGAAGCGTGCGGTATGGTGGACTGCGCATACCCTTTGAGGCACATGGTTCTGTAGCCATGACCTCCACCCCGTGAGTCCCATCCCCGCTCTGGCGCCGGAGTGCATGGTAGACATCTGCCCTCACAGCCGCCAACCCTCGAGCCTCCAATCCCACCCTGCAGGCGTTGCTCATGATATTGGACTCCCCGCTGAACAAGGCAGGCAAGGTCAAGGAGATTTATGTGCACACTGCCAAGAACGTGCTCATCCAAGTCAACCCCAAGGTAGTGATTGGGAGGGGGGGGGGGGGGAGGATGCATGTTGCGAATTCTCACAAAGATGGACAGCGTCCGGTTGGATTTCTCTGCATATGGTACCTTTGCCCACCAGCCTAGACCCCAAGTGCACATGCAGTGGTCACAAGGTGGTGTCCCTCACTCAATTTCCCGCCCCGAGGCATGACCCGACTGATCAGCCAATGCCCTTAACCCAATTCCCACCGCTCGCACCAGGTGCGGCTGCCACGCACCTACAAACGCTTTGCCGGCCTTTTCGTGCAGCTGCTGCAGAAGCTGAGCATTCGGGCAACCAACGGCCCCGACAAGCTGCTCCGCGTGGTCAAGGGCCCGGTGCCGCCCCACCTCCCCGTGGACGCGCTGCGCATCGGCTTCTCCCACTCCTCCGAGTCGCTGGCGCCTGTCGCGACCACGGTGGCACGCTTTCCCCCTGGCAAGCCCTTGGTGTTCGTGCTGGGGGCCTTCTCGCACGGCAAGATCGACGACGGGTACGTCGACGAGTACCTGTCCATCTCCCAGTTCCCCCTGTCGGCTGCCTACGCCATTGCGCGGCTCACAAATGCCCTGGAGGCGGCCTGGGACCTGGTATGAGATGTGTGATTCTGAGAGGAAGGGCGCTTTGTCAAACTCATCGTTATACAGAGCACCATGCAGTCAGCAGCCAAGTGGCAAGGGTCGGATGCAGCGTCACGCGATGAAGGTCAGGGGTGTCACATCAGTGAGTGGGAGCACGGCGTCGTGCCGCCGCAGGCACGCACATGGCTGAGGCATGTAGCAGGGGGGCCGTATGTGGTCTGTTGGCGGATGAATGTCCAGCAGAGGGACAGAGGACTGAGGGCACACGCGGATCACAGGCCGGGCTCGGCATATACTTACTCGCAGCCCGCAGGCCAAGGGGCGCGCATTCACCCCTCCCCCCCTTCCCTTCCACCATCGCCTCCCCCCCCCTACGCAAACTTGGCGTCGCGGAGCCAGAGGGGGTCCGCCATGCGAGCGCAGTGCACGGTGCGGCGCATGAGCTCCGTGGCGGCCTCCGTGGCCGCGCGGTTCAGGCCGCCGGCGAACTGGTGCACGCGGAAGACGGCCTCCACGCCCTCCACCAGCGGCTCCAGCGCCTGCGCCGCGGTGCAGGACGCGCGGCGCTGCACCGCACGCTCCGCGTCAACCGCGGCGGCCGCCAGCGCGCGCGCCGCCGCCTGCGCGGCCCAGCGCACCCCCTCCAGCGCGGCGGCGTCCCAGGGCAGGCCCGCGCGCGCCAGGCGCTGACGCAGCGCGTCGTGAGCGTAGGCGCAGCGCCCAGCCAGCGCCGCGGCGTCCTCCACGGCGGCAGTCAGGCGGCGGCCCTCGGCCGCCAGGTCGGGCGAGGCGGGTAGGCTCCAGGCGGCCAGCGCAGCCGCGGAAGCGGCCAGCTCCGCCGCCAGCCGCGCCGCGGCCGCCGCCGCCGACCAGCGCTCGCGCGGCCAGCTCAGCGCGCCGCCCTGCGCGGCGGCCGACCCCGCGCGGCCCAGCGCCGCCGCGGGCACGCCGGCGGCGAGCTCGACGTCGGCTACCAGGGCGCAGACCTCCGCCAGCGAGGCCGGTCGCGCGTCCGCGATGCGCCGGGCCAGGGTCTCCAGCATCGGCAATGGGAGGTCGGCGGGGCCCTCGTCCGGTGAGACTCCAGACTCGCCACCGACGCGCGCACTCACGTCGCCGTACTCGTCCTCCTTCACGCTGTCTCCAGCCAGGCCGCGCGTCTCCCGGGGTGCAGCGACCGCCGCCCGGCCGCCGTGCCGGACGGTCGGGTATGCCCCGCCTGCCGTGGGCGAGGGGACGTGGCCGGCCGCCGCCCGCCCGCCGCCGCCGCGCGGGCTGGGCAGGGGCACGCCCCTCCCCGCCAGCGCCGCCGAGCGCTGCAGATCGTGGCGCAGGGCTACGAGGGGGGGCAGGCGGACGATGGCGTCGCGCGGGCTGGGGCGCAGGCCGTCTCGCGGCGTGTGGTGCGTGGGCGTGGGCAGCGGGGAGGGCGAGCGCAGGGCCCGGCCGGCCCGTGCGCCCTTGTCCGGCGAGGAGCGCCCTCCTCCTGGCGTCGGAGGGGTTGGCGCGAGGGGCGGCTCCTCGTCCTGGGCTCGGGATGCGGTGGCCCGGCGGGTGGGGGGCCCACTCCCGGCATGGTCTGCACTGTGTGATGGTGGTGCGACACCTGGTGCTGGATCGTCTGCGGGGGGGATGGCTGGCGATGAACTGCTGGCTGATGAAGCGAGTGATGCCGCACTGACGTCGGGCGCAAGAACTGGTGCAGGCTCGCTGGCTGGCGCAGCGTGCAGTGCCAGATCGCTGGGCAGCCCAGCATCTGGGTCGCTGGCGGGAGCAGAGACAGGGGCTGCCACGGTAGCAGGCTCCGGCACTGCTGCCGGCAGCTCCTCCTCTTCCCTCGAGGGCGGGAGGTTCAGAGAGGGGACGGCAGGGCGGTGCGAGGGGCCTTCCTCCTCGAGCAGGACGGGAGCGCTGGGCATGGCCTCGATGGAGCCTGTGTGCCAGGGGTAAAGGTGGACAAGATGGATGACATTGGCAGGCGGTTGCCGGTGAAGACAAACACTGGGCGCTGCAGGCTTCGCTTCGAAAACCTCTCCACCGTCGAGTTGCTCCTCCGAAGATTTGTGGATATGCAGTCTCAAAACCTCAATATCCTGGTGTCCCACCTGCGTCGTTGCTGTCCTCGTTGGACTCGATTCGCTGCTCCCTCAGAGCCTGGCTCGTCCCTGCCTCCTCCTCCTCCTCGGCCATGACAAAGCGTGGGAGCGGCGGCATCCTGCGGCAGTCCTCGATGAGCTGCTGTACAATGTCCCTCAGGTCACCTCCGTGTCCAGAAGCCTGGGCGACAAAGAGAATAGCGTTGCTGTGATAGCCGAGTCCCAAAGAGAATCGTGTAGAGGCTACACATGCACGACAGCCCCATGAGGATGCATCGCCATCCAACCATGGACCCCACTCACTCCAAGCGTTTGCCACCCAGCTGGCCCACCGGGTGAGCCCCCAACCCTCACACGCGGCACCCTGGCCTGGCACCCCCGACCTGCCTGGCTGCCATCTCGCTCCCCGTTGCCCCAGGCCCCAAGTGGGTGGTTGGCGTCCAGGCCCTGCTGACTCAGCGCCTCAAACAGGTGCGCGATGATGTAGTCCCGCTGGAGCTCCGCCTCACTCGCCGCCGGCTGGACATGAGGAGATGAGGGGATGCAGGACAGCGTCAGTCTGGTAGCCCTTGCAAGACGCGACACCCTGCAGACATGATGTCACGCCCACCCACACTCACGCACACCCCCCCCGTCCCCTTTGCGGCACCATCCCGCGATTCCAGCCCCCCCCCCTCCCAAACCCAGACAAGCACCTGCGCCTCCTGGATGTACACGTGCAGGGTGGCCAGCCCCGCCACGGCCTCCTGGATGGGTGCCACCCTGTGCTGCAGCTCCGCCAGCCGCCCCTCCACCGCCGCGTACTGCTCCGAGAGCCACAGCGCGCGGGGCAGGGCCTCCTCGTCCCCAGCGCCCCCCAGGGCAGCCAGCTGGCCGTCGACTTCGGCGCGGGAGGCCGCCACCTCCCGCAGCGCGGCCTCCACGTCCCCGCACGACCCGCGCAGGTCGCGCACCCAGCAGGAGACGTCGCGCAGGAGGTCGTCGTAGGTGGCCGAAGAAAGGGAGGCGGCCATGGCCATGGCCACGGCGTTCTGCATCCAGTGTTGGCGGAATTGGAAAGGAAGGTTCAGATGGAACTACCTTGAGATCTGCTGTATTCAGGACTTTGTCTGCTAATGTACCAGCTCGGCACCCTTTGCCGGTCAAGTCTCACTCCTCGCCAGCACCCCTGATCCCCCGTTGCACGTCGGAACGACACAGCCTGCACATACTCTGGCTGCCCTCCCCTTCTGGCTTCCTCCAACAGATCCCACCACCCGCCGACCTGGAAGCTGCGTGCCGTGTCATCGGCCTCGGCAGACCGCGCCTCCGCGAGCTTGACCGATTCGGCCAGTGCCATGGCCAGCCCCTCATCCTGATCGCTTGCCACGCCATGCAGCGCCGGTGCCTCTGTCGCTGCGACGGGCGCTGGCGTGGGCGGGCCGCCGCTGGAGGCTGGAGGGACCAACCCCCGTGCCGATCTGTGGAGGCTCTCCGACCTTGCCAGCTCCAGGGCCAGGGCCGCGTCCATGGCCTCCTGCTCGGCACGCTGCGCACGCTGCGCGCCTCGCCCCGTCCAGTCCGGCAGGGACCAGGCCGCGGCGTCGATGAGCGTCTGCTCGGGGGTGCGCTGCGGGCGGGCGTCTGGCGCGCCGGGGCTGGAGGGCTGGCGGGTCATCTGGGTCCCCCGCCTGGGCGTGCCTGCGCCGGGCCGGGAGCCCTTGAACAGGCCGTCAAAAACCCCCATGCCTCCAAGGGGCTGGATCTGAGATATGGTGATGGATCAGGCTGTCAATGGATCTCGTGATCCAGCCTCCACATGCATCTCCAAGGAAAGGGAGCAGGAGGACAGGGTGGGAACGGGGGTCTCAGTTGCAGTTGTAGCTACCGTGGGAATATGCCGCGAGACATGCATGGAGTGGGAGATCTTTGCATGTTCTTCGAAAATTGACGCTTCCGTTCAAGCGTGTCTCAGCCTTAGTGCAGCAGAATGCCCCGCCCCAAGGTCGAAGATCTCACGCGTCAGGGTTTTTCCATCGCCCCCTCTTCCGGTACGTGGGGCATGGCGGGAACAAGCTCGATTGCCGCCAGGAGAAGGGGAAGGCGCTTTATGTCCGTAACCCACCTGTCGATACACTCCCAATTCCCCCCTCCACACGGCCGTGGCCGAGGGCATGCCTCTGTATTAGCCAGCACCATCTAGCCATGTCTCTAGCGGGCTGCAGCTGCATGAAGGCCGGCCCCGCCCCCGGTTTTGGGGTGTGCACCCCGGCCTCCCGGCGCGGCGCTGCTGCACGTGCGTGGTGCTCGGTGGGGTTGGTGGGGATGCGCATTCGTGCTGCACTCTCCAACCAGCCACGTATCCATTCAATTCCACAGGATTCGGCGAGCCGGTGCGGCAACGAAGACCCTTCCGTCCACAGGCACGTTGGTCCCCCGGCCGGACAATGGCCGAGGCGCCAGCCGGACCGATTCGGTGCATGCAGATACTTGGAGCATGCATTTCTCAGTTTCTATCCTCCCTGGCACCCAACCCCGTCCCCACCTCGCTCCACAGGGCGCCACCGATGCCTCCCGTGCTGCGGCCACCCCCAATGGGCTGAGCACCCTTT